TATATAATAACCAGCTTTTTAAATATGTGCTATGCTTGTTAATGCTGTATTTAGCCAATTACAAAGCAGAAAATAATCCAGCATCTTCTACAGACCGTTTACTCCAGCTTTCTGTTTAGTTTTGTCAGATATAAAGTAACAATTTGTCCAAACATTTTTAAAACATCAGCCTCTAACTAAAATATTCTGCTACAAAATGTGATACAGCTTCTATATATTGATATACCATCAAGTGTCACAAATATTTTTTCCATTACGTAAACAAACTTATAATGTCTGCATTGGGGGAGCGGTGGCGCAGAGGTTAGAAGATGGGCTTGTGATCGGAAAGTCGCAGGTTCACCTCCCGGTACAGTCAACATCAAAAATTGGGTGGAAAAGGTGAAACACCCACACCTGCCTCCACCCTCATTCGCCCCACTCTGGACCCCTGAGCAAGGCCCTTAACTCCCACCATCTGCTTCCTAAACAGGTCTTTCTTGAAAATGAGTTCTTGTGGCTCAATGAGACTACCTGGATAAATAAAGGGTAAATGAAATATATATATATATATATATATATGGCACGCATACTTAGTTTGACACAGTCTTCAGCATACAGCAGCCTATTGCTCTGCTTGTTTAGAACTACTGACAAAGATGCCAAAAATAATACAGTAGTCCCTCGCTATTTCGCGGTTCGTTTATCATGGACTCGCTCTATCACGGTTTTTCAAAATAAGACTGGACATGACACACAATTGGCTGATTGATGGATGGGCCACACGACTGGCATGGACTTTTTATTTAAAATAAATTATTTTAAAATATTTAGCACCTTTGTGCAGCCCACACTGCAGGATACAGTAAACTTCCTGCTGCAGCTGATCAGCTGTTCACCATGCAGAGTGGAGAAGTGGGCGTGGCCAAGAGCACTTACAGGTAGGTGGCTGAGAGCAGTGGAGGTAGGGAGCTGAAGCTTTAGAGGAAATATTGTTTAGAATATTGCAAGAGTGTGGGAAGGGTTTAAAATGGGATTTCTGTGTACGGATCCCCCGCGATAAACGAGGGACTACTGTACAGTGAAATTCTCCAAACTAGGCTTCCAGAATATTAAGACCATCACATTTTGATATTATTGTCGAATATTGCAATGACTGTGGTGCTTGAAAGTTTGTGAACACTTTAGAATTTTCTACATTTCTGCATAAATATGACCTAAACATCATCAGATTTTCACACACTCCTAAAAGTAGATAAAGAGAACCCAGTTAAACAAATGAGACAAAATATTATACTTGGTCATTTATTTATTGAGGACAATGATCCAATATTACATATTATAACACACATAT